ATTCCCATTTTACGGCTGAGGAAACTGAGGCTCAGCGAGGTTATGCAACTTGGCCAAAGTTGCACGCGAAGAGTGAAGTGGCTGAGCCGAGATGTGGACTCAGGTGTGCGTGGCCCCCCCACCCCCCGGCCCCACTTTCCTCCAAGCCCCCCAGCTAAGCTTCCTGCTCCACCAGGTTCCTTCCTGAGCTGGTCCCACTGGCATTGCTAGTTCAAGGGCAAGCACGTGCCTGGGGCCCAGCAAGGAGCAGGGGAGCCTAACTTAGGTTGCATTCGGGGACAGTCCAGGACAGCCTGGATGGTTCAGTTGGAGATTTTATGTATTTGTTACCCGCCCTTTGTGTTCCTGACTTCTGTAAGGTCCCTGGGACAAGCATCTCATTTGCAAACAAGGCCTGTATGACCTACTTCCTAGGACACGGGAAGTCTTTCTCATCTCCTTCCTGTCCCCTCCCCCACCCGAACCCCCGTTTCCTCCCCTCAAGGTCTTCTGCACTCTAAGCGCCCAGGAACGCCTGTGCGCGGTGGAGATGGCTGTGGGGCTGTCTGGAACCTCAGTGAGCCCTCTGACTCAGCTGGAGAGGCGATACGCTTGGGGACATTCCGTTCTGGTTTCTACCCTTGCTGGTTCGCTGTGCTCTTTTGTAAGAGGAATTTCATACCTTGGAGACGCTTTGTACATATTTGTAATGACTTTATTAAAAAACAAAACAAAACAAAACTGGTTGTGTGCTTCCAGCCAAAGGCCTCTGCGTTTTCATTTCCTTTTGGAAGGTTGGTCTCCAAAGACTACGGGAGGATCCCTGGGATAGAAGGCCACACACTCATCTCCTGTCCCTGTTGTGTTCCTGGGAACACCCCAAGGGGAGGGTTGGCCTAAGCAGTACCCTTGGGTTGAGCAACACGTTGGGGGAACTGGTCCAACAGTTCAAGGTCAGTGCACAAAAGCATCGTTTATGCATGACATGACGCAGATAAGCAAGTGAACCTGCAGACTGGTGTCTCCGACTATGGGTGAATGGACCGCTCAGGGTGGGGTACTTTCACCTGCATTCACCTGGTCTGAGTTGTACCAAGAGACCAAGTTCTAGTTTATTCCTAAGAATGGTAGGTTGAGGATGGGTGGTTTTTCTAGATAATAGATCCTCTTTTCTTCTTTGGGGACCCACCCCTTTCCCACTCTCAGTCCATGTGACTTGGAGGGATGGACTTCATTTCCCACCCACCTCTGTTCCCACGTCCAGAGCTCAACAGCCCACCGAAGCTTGTCCAGCGCTCTGAGTCCCCAAGGCTAAAGTGACTGGTTTGGGGGCAAACTAATGAGAATCAACCTCAAAACTCCTGCTGGAGCTTTGGGGAAGCAGGGGCTCTCTTTGCTGGGGTTGTGAAGCTGGTGGAACATAAGCAAAGCGCTTCTGGAGGTTCTCTTCCCACCTCGTGGGATCCGACTGCCTGAAGACCAAACCATCTCAAAGGAAAACAACTGAGGGATGGAAAGACATGATTCTACTGTCATCCGTGGAGCCCTTGAATCCAGCTGTACCTAAAGCCCATACTGTTACATAAACCAAATAAAGTCCTTCTTTTACTTAAGCTGTATTTGGCTTGGTTCACAAATAATTTCAACCAAAATGTTCTGCTTGATGATGCTTTTGTGGCTGGCTTCATAATGTTGACCTGAGAGGCACCAACTGTCACCTAATGCTGTTTACATTTTAAATATCCATCGTCATCTGAGAAAACCCTTCTTGAATCAGCCCATGCATCTGGGGTCCAATCAACCTATAGTTAATGGCCACAGTGGGCTCTGTAGCTGCCACCCCAAGATCCCTTCTACCAGTTCTGAGTGCCATCCTGCACCTTTGTGTGCTTTGGGGCACCCGACACCTTCAGAGGCCTGGGCCTCCTCAATGGAGTGCCTGAGAGGTCTCCCACCCCCCATATTGGCCCACAGCTGGGAGCACAGAAACCTCAGGGTGGGACAAACTCTGAGATGCAGCTGATGCTCCGGAACTCCCGGCAGGACCAAGCTGAGCTGGGACTTCTCTGAGAGTCGCCCTCTTGCTGGGCTTCATCCCCTCCCTCTTCTGTTTCACTCATTCCCTTACTAGTTTCTCCTGGGAGCACTTCCTTAATAAATCAAGCGCCAACTCAATGGGATCTACTTTGGGGAAAAACTGCCATCAGATGACCACCCCCTGCCTGAAGTGTGTCTTTGAATTTGTCCTAAAACAGGTCCACCTGGCTTTAAGGGGCAAACGGAGACTCAAGACCGTGGATGTAACTTTCAACGACAGATCATATTTATTGGCAGAATGGAACTTAAGGGGACATTAAAAACACCAAAGGCAGCTCTGTTTGGCCCAGAGCAAAAGTACTAAAAGATTCCAGGACTCCCTTTTTACATTTTCTCTTTCCAACCCCAAGTCTTGGCAGCCTGGAAGTCTCCCAATGCCTCTCACACGCTCCCCTAAGGAAGGTAATGAACCTATTACATCCAGGTCCAGAGCTTGCTTTTTTTCATCTCGTATTTATTATGATCAAGACATTTTACGTTAGGAGGGCCATTTCCAAAGACTTCGTGGAACTTGAGTCAGTGAGTCATAAAATATTAAGAACAGGATTCTGCGACCTGACACTCGATTAATCCTGCTTCTAACAAATGAGCTGCAGAGCCGAGACAGGTAAAAGAGGGTGGCATTGTTCTTCCTTTCCAACGGTGGCTCTTGGCTGCTTCTACTAAAAACTCGTGCTAGGGAAAACATGCTGCTTTATGTTTGGAAACCTCTGCCCTGGCTACTGGTCCTCCCTAAAGCGGAAGTTAAATCCTCCCACCCAAGAAAAACCTCCAGACATGACTTTCCCCCCAGAGGGTAGGGAATGAATAAATAAAATCCTGAACTAAATCATCCCACCTGCCCACCCCCCCCACCCC